TTGGTTGAGGATCAGTCTAGACAATCAATCTAGATAGATACAGGTAGATAGACTTTTGTAGCCCAGACCAACCCTATACTTACTGTTTCTAATTTGACCTCCACCTCCACCAGAGATTACAGTTGTGTATCACTGTAACCTGATTCTTCTTATTCTCTTGATACTTCCAAGAGCCTCATTTTGTCTTGAGCTCTTTATGTTTTTCCTTGAGAGGTAGGGTGTCATGTAGCCAGGCTGAACTAGAACTTGTATCTGAAGATGATCTTGAACATTTTATCTTCCTGCTTCTAGTTTCTGAGTGCTAGGATTACAGATGTGCACTACCACACATGGTTAGTGCAATCCTGCAATACATCACAAGGTTTCGCATATGTTAAGCCAGCATTCTACCAATAAGCTACATACTCTGCCCCCAATGAGGATATTATTAATTCCATAATTTCATCAAGAATTCCAAAGCAGCTTCAAATATACTCAAAATCAATGGGGAATGAGCTAGACTTCATCAAAATATGACATTTTCTTTTTTCTTTTGAGATAAAGTTTCATGTATCTCAGGTTGGTTCAAACTGTCTCTGTGCAAGGTTGACTTTGAATTCCTGATCCTCCTGCCTTCATCCACTCAGTACTGGGATACTATCTAGAGATGTGGAAATAATACTTATTCCTGGCTCATAGTTTGGATTTTATATTAATGTGATGAGATGACATAGAGTGACTCTAGGTGATAGAAGGTCTAGGGATATGCCAACATTAGAGTTTAACAAGAGAAAATGTGAGAATAGTTGTAAGGTCATTATGGTAATTATTAATTGATGGTGGTTTGGACAAAGAGAGGCAGTGCGGACAGACTTGACATAGAGAACAGAGTGTGTGTGTGTGTGTGTGTGTGTGTGTGTAAGAATTCTTATTATTTGCTATTTTTATAAATCACTTTCCAAAATGTTGAGTTTTGTATTTTCTTTATGCAGCATAATCTTTTCAAAGGCATGCTTTGTTTTGTGTTTACTCATTTGCATTTTGTTTTGCTTTGTTTTTTGGAGTTAGGATCTCACTATGTAGCTCTGTCTATCTTAGAATCCACTATGTAGACCAAGATGGCCTTGAATTCACAAAAAAATTGCCAGCCTCTGCATCCTGAATACTGGTTTGCATTTAGTCATTTGAAGCCTAGTATAGCCCTTTCTAGCTGTGTATGGATGCTCCTTGGTTCTCACTTTCTGTCTGGCTGTTACTGGTTCTTCACCACAGATCTTGAATTGGGAGACCATATAGACATGTACAGTTCACAGCTAACTCTTTGGCTTGAAACTCATATTCACCAACTTTGGTACTATGGATGCTGGGCTGAACGTAGACCCTTATTTATACAGACTGTCTACTTTTCACTATGAAAAAAAATCCCGGCTAAGTAAAAATTATTATTGGTCTTTTAGAATAGAAATCATAAATAAAAAGTGAGCTCCAACAGAGACTTAAACTTCCCGCTCTATTTATTCCCTCTCATTATTGGTTTTACATACTTGGATCTAGAGTGTTCAGCAATGCTTGTATGTGCCCATGCATACACATACACATTGGAAATACGTGTACACCTGCATATACATACACAAAAAATAATTCTACCACTGTTAGTTCAATATGGTTTTTAAAGATTTCATGAAGCATATATTGTACATTGAGCATATTTCCCCACACACCCTCCCATCTTCCTTTCTCACCCCTCTTCCATTGTCCCTTTTGTTCCCCTAGATAGTTTCACTTCTACTCTTGTGTCATGTGTGTGTGTGTGTGTGTGTGTGTGTGATTTATGTATTTATTTTAAATCTAGGAACTACAAATGAAAGCTAAAACTAAAAAATCCATTTTATTTATAAATTTCTCTGTTGTTGGATACCTTGTTTGGTTCCATAACAGATATTGTGAATAATAGTGCTACAATATATATTGGCATGCAAATATCTCTATGGTAAGTCAACTTAGAGTCCTACAGAATTGGAGAAAGTCTTTGTTCGCTATACCTTTAACAGTGGATTAATAGCTAGAGTATAAAAGAACTCAGTAAACTCAACAGGGAAACAGCCCAATCAATAAATAAGCCAATGAAATGGACAGTGCTCAAAAGATGAAATACAAATGGCCAACAAACATAAAAAAATGTTAAATGTCACTAACTTTCAGAAATAAAAATTATAACTATATTGACATTTCATCTTACCCTAGTCAGCATAGCAGCTTTTAAGCAAACAAAAACAAAATGCTTGCTGGCAAGAATTGGGCCATTCCAATTGTATAAGGGAACCATTATACACTGTTGGTAGGAATGTAAATTTAGTTCAGTCATGGCAGGAGTCAATATAGAGGTTTCTCAGAAAACCAAAAGTAGATATGATCCAGGTATAAAATTCATGGGTATTTATCTGAAGGCAAGAACTTTCAACAGGACTCAAGTTGCTTGGGAAATAAGGCTAACAATTAACAAGTGGGACCTCATGTTAAATAAGGCCTTATTTCCCAAGCAACTTGAGTCCTGTTGAAAGTTCTTGCCTATGTCTCGATCTAAAAGTATCTCCCCTACATTTTTCTCTAACAGTTTTAGAATTTCAGGTCTTATGTTAAAGTCTTTGGTTCTTTTGGAGTTATTTTTTTTGTGTGTAGGTGAGAGATATGGATCTAGTTTCATTCTTCTACCTATGGATGTCCACAACACTATATTTTTTTATATCACATGCCAAGTTTATTTCTTAAATTTTGTTATTTATTTTACATCTCAGTTGCAGTTACCATCCCTTCTCTCCCCCGAGTCTCTCTCCCCAACCCACCTCTGTTCCCATCTCTCAATTCACTCCTCCTCCGTTTCTGTTTAGGAAAGGACAGGTCTCCCATAAGAATCAACAAAACATGGCATATCAAGTGAGCACGGCAACCCTTGGGGCTGGCTTACAAGTTCAAAGCTTTAGTCCATTATCACCATGGTGGGAAACATGGTGGCATGCAGGCAAATGTGGTTCTGGAGAAGTGGCTGACAGTTCTACATACAGATCTGCAGGCAGCAGGAAGAGAGGGTGAGATACTGGGTCAGGCTTAAGTTTCTGAAACTTGTATTCCACCCCCACATTACACAGTTCCTCCAAATAGATCACACTTACTCCACAAGGCTACACCTTCAATAACACCACTCCCTGTGAGTCAAAGGGGACCATTTTTCACTTAAAACACCGCAGAATATTTCAAATATCCATCCTTTCCTTCATGTTTCTCTGGCTGATTTAAAAAATACCAAAGACTTGTCTGAGAAATGGCATACAACACTATATTTTTAATCTTCAATGATATGTCAATTCTGGTGAAAATCATAATCATTACAGGAAGAAAATATATGTCACTGCTTTGATTTATAAAAAGTCATCTATTTTAAATGATTCTATGAGTATCCATGCTCATTTCACAGTATAGTCATTTCTTTTCAAGGCTAAACATCATGGGAATGGAAAAAGAAAAAGATATATTTAAGAAATGCTTATTTCTCTTTATTCAAATTTTGTAGCACATGCATATTTCAAACTGCTTATGTGTTCAGCCTTGGGTTCTGAATGTATTATTAATTCCATAATTTCATCAAGAATCCCAAAGCAGCTTCAAATACACTCAAAATCGATGGTGAATGAGCTAGAGTTCATCAAAATGTGAAATTTCTGACTTTACCAGGTAGCCATGGTGGTGGATGCCTTTAATGCTAGTACCCAGGAAACAGATGCAAGCAGATGTCTTTAAGTTCAAGGCCAGTCTGGTTACATAGGGTTTTCCTGGCCATCCACAGTGACAGGGTGAGACCATGTTTAAAAAACAACAGATGACAAGAAAGCATATGTGAAGAAAGTCCATATATACTTATCTGTCCTATCTCGTCCATTTACCTTAAGGAGTTGATGATTTATTTTCTCCTAGTAAAAACTAGCACATTGTTGTTTATAGAAGTTTTTTCAGGCTCAACACTGAGGATATTGACCTTTACAAGCTTATCTATGTGAAGATGAGAGGCATATTAGAAATTTCTAGACTTTCTTGTCTATTTTGTTTTGTGCCTAAGCCTGCTCTAGAAAAAGCAAAGCATTTAATGTAAGCAGTACTGTATCACATTTAACATGATGACCAATACAAAAAAAAATCACTTGATCTTTATGTCCTTTGTTTATTCAAGTGACCACCAAGTCCAATATTCGAAGTAGAATGGGTCACACCTTAAAGAAAACTGTCCTCATCCCCCCACAATCCACTGCCCAGAGCCCCTCAGTTAGGGACCAGGTCTGTGAGCCCTGCTGCTTCTGTACTAGAAAAAGTTGACTGGCTTGTTTGGGGTAGATTTTGTGCAAGCTGCCACAGCCGATGTGAGTTTTAAAATTCTTTTAAACTATGCTTTGGCTTTTAAAAGTTGCCCCAATACTCAAGCTCACCGCGTGAACTTGAGAACTGTTTGAACCTTGGACTTACTGACCTAAATAAAACACATGTGAGTGCCAGAGGTAGAGAAAAACGGGAGCAATCAGAACCCGAGCCTCTTGTTCTAGCAGAGGAAAGATGCTTTTCTCACTGTGTTCACCTGAGCTGCCTCTCTTAGGGCATTCGAGCATGTCTGGAAATGGAACAACGAGAAACTTTTAATCCATGAAATTTTAAAATTTCACAATATCTCAAATTTTTCTGAGGGGTTCTCTAATCTACATATAGGGTGATATTAGAAGTTATTTATGGTTTGCTCAAAATTCTAGCTAAGATGCTGAAATGACCTTTAAATATAATACAGGGTTCCCTAACTATCAGATGTCTTTCCTAAGTGGCCCCTGGCTGGGATGGAGCAAGGCAGGGGGCGTGGCTTTGTGGGTGGGGCATCTGCAGGAGGAGGGCCGCGGGGCGGGGCGGGGCGGGGCAGGGCCTGGCCCTGCGGATGGAAGGTGAAGCGTTAATGACTCGGCGCGCCGACGCTGCCCTCTGAACTGGAACGGAAAGCAACTTCCGGCTGTAGTCATTCGGCCGGGCACCGGCGACCTGTAGCGTGGGAGAGCGCAGCGGAAACCCTGAACTGTGAGTAAAAACTGAGAGTTTTGGTGTCCGGGTGGGCCGAGCCCTGGGACGCAGGACTGGGGTGTGTGAGCGGGAGGGACGCGCTGCAACGAGGTCACCTCGGAGAAGCGGAGCTGAGGCCACAGCGAGTTGACGGTGTGTTTGGAACGAGAGAAGCGCCGGTCCTGCCTCCAAGCTGACCCTCTGACGCTTTCCCGGCCGGTGACCTCGGCTTCGCGAAGACAGTCCCCGCGACACTGCCTGTGGTACTGGGGTGCGGGGGACCCCGGAGTCCTGGACTTCCCTGCTGACTGGAGACAGGCTGATTGGCCAGAAGCGGCTGCTCTTGGCGCTTATGCTCTCGAACACTTCCTAGGTTCTTTCTGTTTATCCCGGGAATTGCACAATTCCCTTCTCGGCTTTCCTGTGGAGTGTCATCAGAGTCTTGTCAATGAGAAGTTGAGTAACTTCCCCACGGGTCCCGGGGAATAGGTGGCTTGAGGTGCAAAGAGCAGAAGTAGCCACCCATGTACACTAGTCATTCAGACAGTTCCCACCGCTGTGTAAACTGGCTGGCAACAAGTTATACACCGCCCCCCCCCCTCCAAAAAAAAGCGGGGATTGAGGGAAGATGCTGTACCCCAGAGGACTGGGCTCTCTCATTGTTAGGCTGGCTGCACGGAGCAGCCTTTCTGGGTGTCTTTTTCTCTCGTTGATGTTTTTTAGAAGTTAACATAGAAGAAGGAATGATAGTATAGAAAGTGAAGTGATGCGAAAGTTGAAAAGAAAAAGAAATGCCAGGCATGGTAGCACACACCTTTAATCCCAGTACTGGAAGGCAGAGGCAGGATCACTGTTGAGTTCAAGGTCAGTCTAGTCTACATAGCAAGTTCCGGGCCAGTCAGGTCTATATAAGTGAAACCCTGTTTTAAAAAAGAAAAAAGAAAAAAAAAGGAAAGTTTACAGTGATCAGTTTTATGCTATGCATAATCTGTCAATCACAGGTTTATTAGTTTTGTTTTAATCTTTTTAAAGATTAGGGATTGGAAAAATGACACATATACTACAAAGGTCTGAAAGGCATATTTTTCAATTGCTTAGAACCAGGTGCTCTTGCCTTTTCTAACACCCCTCAGTTTACTGGAACATCTGTCAAATATTGCACCTAGTTCAAAAGACTGCATTGGCCATCCACCCTAAAGGTAGTCCTGGTTATCCCTTTCTGAATATAGTTCATAATCTTGATTTTGAAAGACACTTTGCTTACCTCTTTTCTTTCCTCTTTTCCTTTACTTACTGAAATTCATCACAACAAGCAGAGGGAAAATGGCAGTCTAAGTTCTAAAGGAAATGTGGATTAAATGAGACTAGCCTCTACAGGCTCATGTATTTGCATGCTTAGTCCCCAGTATGGTGAACTGTTTAGTCAGAACTAGGAGGTGTGTCAGGGCTTTGAGGTTTCAGAAGGCTCAGAATTTCCCTGTCTGTCTTGCTGCCTGAGGATCAGGATTTAAAGCTCTTAGTTACTGCTTCCAAAATCCGTGATGGTCATGGACTCATCCTCTGAACTTGTAAGCAAGCCCCAATTAAATGCTTTTTTAAAAAAATAAGTTGTCTTTAGTAAGATATCTCTTCACTGCAATAGAACAGTAACTGAGACAGAAGGTAAAAGCACAAACATCATTTGACAGAACTGAACACAAATGAGTTAAAAATCACCCAATAATATTTATGTTTTTAAAATGTTAGAAACAAAAGATAAATAACTATAATCATGAGAATAGTAGTTTTGTATCAGCAGGTAATTTTTATTTGCAGTTTACCTTTGTTATGAGTATGATTTTTAAAAATACTTATTATATTGTAAACCCTTAAAGGTAATTTTTTTAAGATTTCATTTTTGTGTTTTATGTGTGTGTGCACATGTTTGTGTGTGCCCTCGTGCATGTGCATATGTATGCGTGTGAGGTTGGGGGATCGGCAGAGGAAGGCTCAAATGAATGTGTGTATACCATGGTACATGTGTGGAAGTCAGAAGTAACTGCCTTCAGGATTCTGTTTTCACCTTCTACCTTGTTAAGGTAGGGTCTCTTGTTTCTGCTGAGCCATACGTACTCCATGCTAGCTGGCCCAGCTTCAGGTCATTTCTCCTGTCTACCTCCTGTTTCACTATAGGAATGTTAGGCTCTAGATTGCATTCTACTTCACTTGATTTTTTATGTGGGTTACGCAGGGAGCCATCTCACCAGCCTGTATGACACAAGCTGGAGTCATTTGGGAAGAAGAAATATCAGTTGAGAAAATGCCACCACTGCAGCCTGTGGGCAAGCCTGTGGTGCATTTCTAGATTAGTGATTAATGTAGGAAGGCACAGCCCTTTGTGGGCAGTGCCACCTCTGGGTTGGTGCTGTATGAAAGCAGGCTGAGGAAGCCATGAGGAGCAAGCTAGTGAGCGGCACTCCTCCATGGCCTCTGTATCCCTTCATGAGTTCCTGTCCTGACCTTTGATGATAGATTGTCATGATGTGGAATTAAACCCTTTCCTCCTCAACTTGTTTCTGGTCATAATGTTTTATCACAGCAATAGAAATCCTAACTAGGACAGCTTTTGTATGATGGTTGTCCTGTTATCAATGCTTAAAGCTCTGCTCCATGCAGATGCAAGATACCACCTATACCCTGAACTGTCCTGGTGCTTTTCACACCATATTAAATAGTATGTATTTTCTCACCTATTTCCTTTGAAACTGCCAATGTGATCTGGCTACAGCTCAATGACAGCTTGTTATCATTAAAATAAGAATTTTTCTAGCAAAATGGGGAAGCTAAAGACAATCTAGTGAAGCTGATAGTTTCCTTTGGGGTATTGAACTTGCCTGTGCAGAAGAAGCAACACTTTTTGTTTTATAGCAGAATTGAAGAAGGGGATAAAAAAAGCAATGTGTTTTTGCTCAATAGCATTTTTCTACCTACTTCATTTTTTGTTTTTGTGTGCAGTGTTGTCGTTTGACCAGGGTTAGTGAATCAGTCCTTTGCTCTTTGTTATGATTGAAGTCCTTTCATTTATTTGGAATCCCAACAAACCATTTTTTGTTTTAAGTTCTGGCCTTGATCTCACACTGTAGGCCAAGCAGGTCTTGAACTTAACATCCTCCTACCTTTTCAGGTGGTGGTGGCGCAAGCCTTTAATCCCAGCACTCAGGATGCAGAGGCAGATGGATCTCTGTGAGTTCGAGGCCAGACTGATCTACAAAGCTACCCAGAGAAACCCTGTCTTGAAAAAACATTTTAAAAAGCAAAACAACAACAAACAAACAAAAACAAAGATTCTCCCACCTCAACCTTCCTGCTAGCTAGGATTACAAACCTATACCACAAGGCTCAGAACAGCAGTATTAAAGGGACTTTTTGGATTTTTGTTTCTTATTTTTAAGGGAAAGAAATTTGGAGAATTATGCTAATTTTCTCACAGAAAAATATCCTGGATAATAACTTGACTTTTCTTCTTTCAAAAATAAAATCTCCATAATGATAATAATATATAATATGTGATGAATGTAAATAGTTTTAAGTGTCAATACACTAATATTTTTCCTTTACATACACACAAAAGTGTGTTAACAGTGAAAATAAAGTCTAACCTTTAAGTCATTGAAGTAGGGAATTGCTTGAAATTGATTAGACTAAGAAAACTAATAAAGAAATGCATTTTACTGGTTACTTAAAGCAAGTTAAAAGTATGAGTCCTTGAGATATTTGCAGTAGAATAGAGTATAGGAAATCGTTTGTTGAGCAACGAACCACAAACAGTTAAGTAATTTTGCTGTAGACTTACTTGCTATAAAGATGGAAATCAAAGACTTCTATCTTTTCAGTATAAAGGACCTGTTACTTTAAATTGCTTGAAGAAAACTTATTTGAGTCTGTCAGCAAATCAGCTATTACTATGGGGTGGTTAAATAGTTCTTTAGTTGTTGTTTATTTGTTTGTTTGAGACAGGGTTTCTCTCTGAAACAGTCCTGGCTGTCCTGGAACTCACTCTGTAGACCAGGCTGGCCTTGATCTCAGAGACCCACCTGCATCTGCCTTTCAAGTGCTTGGATTAAAGTCATATACCACCACACTAGGCTAAATAGTTTACTCTTAGTGAATACATACTGTTTTCTATATCATAATTTCATGACCTTATATATTTGCTTTACCTAAACTAGAAATGTTTCACAGTTTTGATACTGACATTTCTCAGCATTTCAAAGTTATTTCTTTCAACCCACAGAAGCAACTAATCTGGGCTCATAGGAACTCACAGAGATTGAACTGCCAGCCAGAGAGTTTTCATGGGACTGGCCTAGGCCCTCTGCAGTATACTATAGTTGTATAGCTGGTCTTCTTGTGAAACTCCTAACAGTCGGAGATACCTGCTTTTGGTACCCTTTTCTCCTACTTGGTTGCCTTGTCTAGCCTTAATAGAGGAGGTGTCTAATCTTACTACAACTTGATATACCTTGCCTACCTAATACACTTGGGAAGCCTGCCCTTTTCTGAAGGGAAGGAGAGGAGTGGTTGGGGGATGGATTGGGAGGGGAAACTTTGATCAAGCTGGAAATTAATTAATTAATTAATTAAAAGAAAAAATTATTATTGTAGGTAATAATTTGTTCTGTGCTTCCCCACATAGTTGTACTTATCCTCTACATGTGACATGCTGAGTATAAGCATTCTCTGTACTTTTCTCATCTATGAATGTCCCTCATTTATTTGACTTATGAGCACAGACTAGTATGAGCCATATGAAATTTCATGTCCTCACCTCTCTCTCTCTAGATTCTAACATGGCCCCTACTGAGACCCCTTAAACATTACTTGGGAAGTATGTCATGATGGCACATTGCCTGTAATCCCATCACTTGGAAGGCTGAGACAGGAGAATGACAAACTGAAAACCAGCTTAGACCAAATGGGGAGTGTTTCTGTCTCTCTCTCCCTTCCCCTTCTTTCCCCGCCTCTCTCCCCTCCTCTTT